TGCCTGTTGAAACAATGTATCAGGAATCAGAGACATTCGTTTGTCTGTGTTGTACCCTGCCAGGCCCATGAGCAGGGCTCAAGAAACAGAGACTCATGCATTGTGTGTAAAGGCACACGTAGTGCTACCTGTGTTGGACGTTGCAGAAAGCCATGTTAACTGATCACACAGCCAATAGAGCATCTTTAGTGAAACTCCCATCCAGGACTGCTTGTAGGAGTAGATGCTGTTGCACTTGCATCTGCAGCTCTCTGCACACTTTGTCGCAGTCACCTTTGTTTATTGTGATAGCTCTGAGTCACTTAGAAAAGGTTAGCTTCTGTTCAGTGTTCTCCATGGGAGCGGTACATTTGAGAAAGACAAAAAATGGATTTAACAAAACACTGCCACAGATACTTAAAGCTTAATCTCTAGTTCTCAGGGAATTTTGTTTCTCCCGAAAAACTATTCCCAGAAGCTTCAGATAACAAAAGTTGTACTCTTTTAAAAAATTGTTTAATTAGCCAGCTTGTAATGCTATTATAGTAGCTTTATTTTGACCTACATACCTCACCCACCCCCACTGTTATGTATGACTTTTCATCTGCAGTTTTCTGCCCAGTCATCCAGACTTGTGAGGGCATCTTGTTTTCTCCTTGGTTTGACATTTCCTTCCCTTGGCAGTCTAAATTCACCTCGTGGTCTCTCTCTCTCTCTCTCTTTTTTTTTTTAAGTAGGCTCCACATTGGGGCTTGAACTCATGACCCTTAGATCAAGACCTGAGCTGAGATCAAGAGTTGGACGCTTAACCAACTGAGCCACCCAGGCGCCCTGGTCTCTCTCTTTTAATACTCTTGGGTTAAAATATTGTCAAGAGTTCTTAGCAAAGTCTAAGCAAGTTACCTTTGTTGCCTCTTTGTGGTCCATTGGCTTATTGACCTCCTCCAAGTGTTGCCCGGAGCCCCTCTGGATCCTTTTTTTTTTTTTTTTTTAAGATTTTATTTATTTATTTGACAGAGAAAAAGAGAGCACAAGCAGGGGGAGCATCAGGCAGAGGGAGAAGGAGAAGCAGGCTCTCTGCTGTGCAGAGAGCCAGACATGGAACTCCATCCCAGGACCCTGGGATCATGACCTGAGCCAAAGGCAGATGCTTAACGACTGAGCCACCCAGGTGCCCCACCTCTGCAACCTATTTACATCCATTTGCCTTGCGAGGTTAACATATTCATAGGTTCCAAGAATTAGGACACAGACATTTCTGGGCATGCCATTGTTCTGCCTGCCACACCGATATGGTTCATGCATTCCTGAATTATTATATAGGTCTCTAAATTGTTTATTAGTTCTTTCTGGTATCGTTCCTTCACATTTTAAAACCATGTGCCCAGCTTTTAGAGTAATCTTAAATTGTAACAAATGATTTCTATTTAAATATTAATTAAGTGGGGGTGGGGAGGAAGGTCTGAAGTCAGAGTAGCCCAGAACCCCTCTGGGCATTTAAGATGGGGGGGGCAGGCAGTCCAGAGGAGACAATGATGGTAAAAGCTGTGCTGCCTTCAGATGTCTCTACCAGGTAGGGTGACAGCTACATGAGCAGCAGGGTTTAATCATGTTCCTGATGCTGAATTCTTATCCTGGGATATTGCTAGAGCTCATGTCTATGCTCAGTCTGAGTATTAGTTTCCAGAGTATAATGCCTAAAAAACAAAGTACTCAGCAAACAGGAAATCAAACCCAACCCAGAACATCTGCCCTGTGAGGAGAAATCTAGTTCTTATGCTTGTTGTAAATGAAGAGACCTTGGGGTTTGCCTCTGCCCTCTGGGGCAAGTGCCAGGATGGGCTGGCAGCAGCCCTGAAACGGGAGGGTCTGGGTTGAGAAGGAAGAGAGCTTATGTCTGGGCAAAAACTAAGAATAGATGGCAAGCCTGCATCCTGGGGGAGAATGAGTATGTCTTTTATGGTGCCTGTCCACAGTGTAGAAGATGGAGATACAAAGATAAGAGATGATTTGGGCCCCCGGGGAGCTTGCAGATTAGTGGAGAGACAGACAAATGCACTAATAACTGTCACATGAGTAATGGGGTAGATGTTGCTGATGACGTTACTGAAACCCGTCAAATACATGAAGACAGTGTTTGTGTTTATTTATAGCCTGATTGTCTCTGGGCTAAATGTTCCTTTTTAACGGCTTCTTGTATGGAATATTTCTTTATTTTTTATTTATTTATTTATTCTATTTATTTGAGAGAGAGAGAATGAGAGAGAGAGAGAGCATGAGGGGGGAGGGTCAGAGGGAGAAGCAGACTCCTCGCTGAGCAAGGAGCCCGATGCGGGACTCGATCCTGGGACTCTAGGATCATGACCTGAGCCGAAGGCAGTTGCTTAACCGACTGAGCCACCCAGGCGCCCCTGGAATATTTCTTAGACCCCACATCATCCTGCCTGACCATCTTTGGATACTTTTAGAGTGGCAGAGAGGCAACTCAATCTTTCCCTCACTTCCACATGTTGTTCATCGTCAAGTCCCATAGTCTTCCTCCGAAACATCCTGAGCTGGACTGTTTCTTTCTGCTTTGGTCATTACCATCTTTGCTACTGAAGCATCTCCTGACATTTCTGTGGTTTCACTCTTGTCCTCCCAAACCAGAAGGATTCTTCTAAACCTCAGTTCTAAACTCGAGTTTTTGGACCTCCAGTGTGCACCCCCTTGGCACTAGTTTACATTGCTATTAGAGCACAAGCCAGGTTCCCAGCCTCTACCTGCTCTTGGACTTCTGGGCATCCCCACTTTCTCTTTCCCATCATGCTCCCTCTCCAGTGGCCTCTGCCAGAATGCTTTTTCCTGATTTGTCCCTGCTGGTTCCTTCTTAATCAGATCTCAGTTTAATGGGCACCTTCTTAGAGAGGTCTTTCCTGATCACCCCATTAAAAATAGTCCTTCAGGCACTATTGCTGGGGAAATATAATTACAAACAAAATCTCCCAAGTACTCTCCACAAAGGTAGTAGAGAAAGAAAACACTTTTATTATTGAATAAGCATTAAACCAGAACATGACGTGCATCACAGGCAATCCTCTAAGAGATTGTAAAGACAGAAAACAATCTCACCTTATTAGATAGCCAAGCAGATATAACTTGTTACGTACTTATTTTCAAAATAAATGATAACTAGTCCGTTAGTAAGAAGACTTTGTGTATAGTGAGGTTGTGCCAATTTCGATGAGTTTCTGAGTCTCCATTCTATCTTGTAGCACATTAGCTTTGCCTGCTAGGTATGTGGCGTTGTATATTTCTGTGTGTTTGAGTAGGGTGTTGATAAAGTATTGCACAAGACAAAGTACATCGATTTTGACAGGGCCCCAGACTCCTCCCTCTGGTTCCATGTTGATTAATCAGCATTATTTGGATCTCATTGACTCATACTGCTATAAATTCACCTTCTTTCGATTTCTTATGTACAGAGATATTTCTTGAGAGGCTTTACTCTTTCTGTCAGGATGTGTGATTCACTGGTGGAAGTGTCTGGAGTCTATGAAATGATCACTTTATTGTGTTTGGCCTTCAGCTCTCTTTGTATTTTATTTTCCCCTCTGTGAAATAAAGGAACACTGAAGAAAAGTGGGAATTTAGTATTTCTGTTCCTCTCTTGTTACTTTATGCTCTTTTAACTATTTAATCATAAAAGTATGGATTTTCCCCCATATGTATATATTTTTAACTTACTACATCTTTTTCCTGATTATGCAAGTAACATTTTCTTCTAGAACATATTTTGGCAAATATAAAAAAGCACAAAGAAATGTAAAACCTTGGGGCGCCTGGGTGGCTCAGTTGGTTGAGTGTCTGACTCTTGATCTCGGCTCAGGTCTTATCTCAGGGTTGTGAGTTCAAGCCCCACATTGGGCTCAAGCTTGGAGCCCACTTAAAAAAAAAAAAGAAATGTAAAATCACTGGTCATTCTACCTCTCCATAACTGTCAACATTTTGATATATTTTCTTCCAGTACTTTTTCTGTATATGATAATCCAGATCATTCCTCACGTGAATTTACAGAACATTTAGAACATTGTTCATGTCTTTGCTTAGTCTTAGAAAAATACCATTTTTCATGTCTGTGTTATTAGGTCAGATTTTATGAAAGCATTGTTTTGGTAGGTCAAAAATTTGGTTGACTATCAGAGTTTCATATGGTTTAACCTAATGTTTCACCAAATGGTGAAATCATTTATTTTCCTAATGTTATTTAGATTGTTTCAGATTTTGAATTAATATACACAACACTGTGATGAAAGTCTTTTACATAGTCTTTGCCTTAAGATTTCTAATTCTTTACAATCATTCCTAAGAGGAAAATTACTGAGACAAAGAATATTACCTGTCTTTAAGTTAGAAGGTACTTCTCTTTCTGGCTTGTGTATTTGCCCTTTTAAAATCGGGTTTTCCTTTTTTTTTTTTTTAAGATTTTATTTATTTATTTGACAGATAGAGACATAGTGAGAGAGGGAACACAATTGGGGAACGGGAGAGGGAGAAGCAGGCTTCCTGCTGAGCAGGGAGCCCCATGTGGGGCTTGATCCCAGGACCCTGGGACCATGACCAGAGCTGAAGGCAGACGCTTAATGACTGAGCCACCCAGGTGCCCAATCTGTTTTCTTTTTTAAAATTGCAATGGTAATTGATATTTTCAGGGCAAATCTCAAGCATTATACTCAATGTCCTTTGCCATTAAAACATCCCACCAGGGTGCCTGGGTGGCTCAACTGGTTAAGCATCTGCCTTAGGCTCAGGTCATGATCCCGGAATCGAGTCCTGTGTCAGGCTTCCTGCTCAGTGGGGAGTCTGCTTCTCCTTCTCCCTCTGCCCCTTCCCCCTGCTCATGCTTGCTCTCTCTCAAATAAATAAAATCTTTTTT